TTTTTTTTTTTATTCTAAGAGCAATGTCATCACCTTTAAGCCATTTTTCTGCAAACAGTCTTTTATCAGCTATCCTAACCATCAACTAATCCCTAATATGATCATTCATTGCAATTATTGCCTTACACCATACCCTTAGTATCTAAGAGTTGAAAGTTTCACAAATGTTGTTGTCAATTGAATCACATTTACAATTATCCTGGATAAATGCTTTGCACTAGTGCTCTCTATAGTGCCTTAACAAGTCATCATGTCCTTGCCTATTCTTTTCAAACAAATCACCTAACCTATCAATGAAATCATCCTCAAATGTTGCCTTTGCACAATTCCAGAAGCAGATCTTCATCTCATCACCTCTATGGCCCAACTTTGCCCAATTGTGATAATTATGTTTTGCACAATTCCTATGCTCAGCCTTAGGTAATATTAACTCTATAGTGGATATTATGGCCTATACCAATAATTAAAACCAATAATAGCAACAATGAGTAATTTTACAATAATTAACATAAAGTATTAATAATTCCAAATAAATGCATATAAATAAATAAAAGCTACTGATGGGTTCACTTGATGTTCATCTAACATAACTGTTATGCTTGCACCACTGCCAAGATTTAAATCAATTTTCAATAGTTCAAAGAACCACTGCCATGACTCAAGACATTTAGACTCCATTACGACCCAAGCAATTGGAAACATTTGGTTGTTCCCATCCTTCCCAATTGTAGATAGCATAATTCCCTTGCATATTCCCTTCAAGAAACATTCATCAACACCAAAGAACCTTCTACACCCATCCTTCCAACCTTGTTTTAAGGAATGTAGACAACCATACATTCTATGGAAAGTTCTAGTTTCACTAGAACTTGTTTTAGTGGCAGTGACAGTTACAGTATTCTTTGGATGGCTCTCCCTCAATATTTTGGCGTAACTCTTCAAGTATTTGTATTCATCAACATAGCTACCCTCCAGTTGTGTCATAACATGCTTCTTTGCCTTTTCTGCCTTGTCAAGTGTGATGTTCACTTTAATTTCAATCTTGCACCAATTAACAATCTTGGATGGCTTGGTAATGGTGCTTCATAAATCCTTCCTTTAAAAAGATCTACTACAACCTTGTAAGTCACAAGCTCATTTTCATAAGATTTGAAGCATCTATGATCCCTATAGTATATCTTCACCACAAAACACTCATATCTTGGGTCATAAGAGGCAAACAACTCTCATTTGCACCTTGTTTGGCATTTGAACCTCACCCTAGTACGCTCATTTCTGACTTGTTGCAGTTGAGCTTGCTTTTGTATGGAGTATTTACAAACTACCATTCTAAATTGCTTTGCATCTTTGAACCTCATCCCAATATCAAAATATGGGATCTTCCATTTTGGGTTATAATAGTTCTGACAGACATTTTTGCTAACAACATGATCTGGTTGCATAAAAATGTCATCCTCATCATTTGAATTCCAATGAAATTCCCAAGCACTATCTACATAATCAGACTCCCTATCTTCTTCATCTGTAGAGGAGCCACTGTCATCACTGACAGGTAGTTGCTACATGCTGTCAATTGGATCACCTTTTCTCACCTTATTCCCACCACCTTATCTTACTTTATGATGAGCAACATATTTCTTTTTTTTTACCTTTACTGCATGTTTCCCTTATAGTTTCTTCTATACCAGCAGCATTTGTCACAGTAGCTTCTTGGACAGTAGCTTAATCATCTGTGACTACAGGTTGTTGTTGTTGTTGGATAGTTGGTTGCTCTTAAGTGACTACAGGTTCTTCAACATGATCATCTTCTTGCTCATTCTTAGTTCTAGTATGCATAGTTGCCTTAGACTTGTTTCTACTGCTTCTTGTGGCATTTCTCCTTCTCTTCGTAACCTCTTGAGCCAAGTCAACAATATTGACTTGCTCATCATTAGTTTTGTCACTCCCCAATGACCATGCACTATCATTTGAACTTGTCTCCAAGTCAATAACCGACACATCATCACTACCACTATCGACATCACTACTTTTTGCACTTCCTAAATTACCCTCATCCCCGTGCACAAAAACATCACTACCACTATTGCCACCCTCATCTTCAGCATCTAACACTTCCTTATCATTATGTATTGGCTTTGTGAGCAATAATGGACCCTCAACAATCTCAGGTATATTGATGTCATGGTCTTCATACAACTCCACATTGTCAGCATATGAAATTATATCATTCATCTCTCTAATTGCACTATCTTAATTATAAGAAACTAATCCATCTGGCATATACATCCAAGGTTGCATATACTAAATGTTTTTAATTGAAACTCGATCATAACCTTGTCTAACAACATAGTCAATAATCATAAATGAATTCAATCTATCCGTATCACATGGAACATCTTCTCGTACACCCCTTACATGTCTAAATGGTGGTCCCTGTACAAAATGCCCACCATAGTTGAACCATATAATACCTCCACTTTACAACAACTAAATTAATATTATTAATTATTTACTTAATTAATTAAACTAACATAATAGGACAACACAAAGCACAAAGAAGGAAACATCTTCCAATAACATGGGACACTAATGGTGGGACACAATCAATGGGACACAAAAGAACAACATTCTTGAAGAAAATACAAAAAACCCATAAAGAATGATAGAAAAATCAAACTTATTGACAGCATAAACGCACTCACCAAACTTTATGTCCTTTTCGTGCCCTTAATCATGCCCTTTTTCTCCGACAATGGTCCCTTCGGATCAAAGACTATTACGAACAAATCTAAAGCGACAAAGTTTTGATTTTCCTTTGCTTTTCAGACTCCACATTGACATAGATTTCCTTTGCTCACACCAAATCAATGAGTTTGCGATTGGGGTTTATTTCTTAAGACTAAGAAGAGAAGGGGCTTTCTGCAGATCTATTTTAAGTTTTAGGTTTTTTTTTTTTTTTTGTGGGGACGCAGGGACAAGCGGGAAAAGTCTCGCACACAATGGGCCCCCACTATACATGTGGCATCCACTAGCACAAAAATAAGCCACATCATCAAAAAAGGGATCCACACTAGATTACTAATGCCACATAGTGCCACGTCAATTTTTGGGTGCCACGTAGTGCATTTTTTTAATGGTTATTAACAATGCCATGACGGCCTATTAAAATATTGGGTTTTTCACGGGTTTTGAAAAGTGGAGGGTGTTGACAGGGAAGAAAAATTTTGGAACATGTTGACGGTAGAAATAAAAATAAATAAAGGGTGCAAATAAGGGCTTTCGCCTTTTTCTTTAACAAAATCTAATACTAATTAACTATTTAGTTGGAAAACTCTATTAAACACTAATTTTCATTTCATGATTCAATTTTCATTCTAGTCTCATGAAAAGAAAAAGGAAAGATTATTGATTACATAGGTAGAATTAACATATATATCAAATATATAATGCCTATACAATATTTAGAATTCATAACTTCATAAAGGAATTAACTTTCATTAAAAGAAAAAATATGAAGGACTAGAGTTCAAAAGACAAATCCAACATATATGTTAATATCTAGTACTTATACAAAAAATACAATTTTATTCAACATTTAGAAGGACATTATACAAAAAATATAACTCTATTTAATATTAAAATTCAAAAAATAAATCTAGAACATGTCTAAACAAATACAAGAAGAAACTAGATCATGATTGATTTTTATTAACTAGGAAGAAATTATTAACTAAGAACAAATTAACAACTAAGAACTAACCTTGATGTTCTTGTCTTTGTGCTTTTAATGGTGATAAGGGTACCTCAAACACTAAGTTTTGATTTTTAGTAGGCATTCTTGCTAATATTGCTATGTGATGTAGTTCACCATGTTCCACCTAATTTGATTTTTTATGTGAGTGCCACTAAAGAGAAGGATCAGAGAACTTGAGATGAAGAAGGGGAAAGGGAGAATGGAGAAGGAGAGTGGAGAAGAGGAAAAGTTGAGAGAGAGTGAGATTGACAAGAGGCAAGGGTTTGAATATTTTATTTATTTTTACTTTTAAGATTAGGAAATTAGAAATTAGAAATTAATTTTTAAATAATCTTATAAAAAATGAATAAAAAAATTCGGGTCATTTCAAGTGACTCAATCCACTTGTGATCTAATCCATTTGGATTCAAATAATTTTAGTCTGGGTTATTTTAGATTTTGGGTTAAAATATAGGACCCATGACCCAATCCAAAAACAAATGGGTTGGATCAAATTTTCGAATTGGATCCAATTTTGTTAGGTCTAATTTTGGGCAAGCAAAGTGTTCTTTCTTTTTTTTTTGGGGGGGGGGGGGGGGGGGGGTTAAACTGAGAGAGGAGAAATCAAGCAATGCCTTTGATATGTTTTTCAGCATTTTGCCATGGCCCACATACATTTTCCCCCTTTTTTTGTTTTCTTTAGACTAAATGTTGGTTGTTGTGTTTTCTTATCATTCAAACAGTTTATGGAAGAATTTTATAGGATACTTAATTTCAATCACGAGGCTAATTTTGTCAATAGACTACCTCTACAGTATGTTAATGGCTTGTTGAAAAGTGAACCTATGGATAAGGATCGATTGAATCTATTTGATATTTTAGAGTTCATAGTTAATTTGGGTTATAAGGATGTTATGGTTAAACAAATATTTTACAAGACGCCTTAAGCTGAGATGGGTTGAAACTTGAAAGTATTAGCTACAATGTATAGTATGAGGGCGAGGTTGATCCATTTATTCAGCATGAGGATAATTTAGGTGGGGTTGACACTAATATTATGGGGACGGTATTATAGGGACGATATTATAGGAATAATTTTTTTATATCATATTTTAATACAATTTTATATGTTATTAAATGGGTAGATACATTCAGTATTATGGGTTTCACATAACTTAAAAAAATCAATTATTTAAGTGACACATTAAATTGTATCAAAAGGTGGTATAAAAAAGTTATTTCAAAATCATTTCCCATATTGTAGTGTCGACCCCTTATGGATTTGGCTGTTAGTTTTGTCCAGCATGTAAAGTGGTTGCCATGTCATAAAAAATGGGCCCAGATTGTCTGGTCAGCAAGAAGTTAACGTAAAGCAAGGGAAGTGACAAAAAAGTAACGGTAACGGAAGGGGATGGATGGAATTATGTTGTAAGATGATATCATTACTTAAATTTAGGTTAATTTAAAGGCTAAAATATGAAAAGTAGAAGTATTAATTTATTTTATTAATTAGTATAGAATTTTATTTCAATAATCAATGAAAGTGGAGAGTTAAATCCATCCTTTTTGCCAAAAAAAGATATATCCATGATTGATAAAAGTGTAAGGAGTGATTAAAAAAATAATTTAATGGAAGGATAAAAGAAAAAGAATAATAACAAACTCATTTAACAATATAAAAAGAGAGAATGTGAGGTAAATATAAGTGAATATATAAATATAATAATAAAATATGTGAATATAAGTAGGGATGAGCACATTTCAAATATTACCAAAATATTCAAAATTTTTACTCAAAATTTTAAATTTTGGTTTAAATAATTTAAATATTTAGATAAATTTAGATATAGTCAAAGTGACTAAAATTAATTCAGTTCGGGTATTGTTATTGACCATATCAAAAATTACCAATATGAGTTATCAAATTATCCGAAGTTTTTTAATATTAAATAATTATATATTTTTGGTAGACTTCTTTATTTTTTGTCAAATTTATAGACATGAATCTTTTAAAAAAGATATTAAAAATAATCAAAACTAAAAGGAAAAGCTTTTAATAACTTACAGTGAAGAATAATAATACATTAATATTGATACATTAAAATTTTGATTATTTTGGTTAATTAACTGCATTATCCAAATAATTTTGATTATATGAAATTATGACCAAATTAAATATTTGGTTTAGATTTAGTTTGAATGTCTCATCTAAAATTTTTCAGTTAACCAAAGATTTGGTTTGATTCAAATAGTTCAAAGGAAATGGTATCGTAAGAAAAATAAATAAAAAATGGAATATAGATAAATGAAATGATAGTACCAAAGGAATAATGCTATTAAGTTATATCTTTTATATTTAAACTTTAAATCTTCAAATATGAGAATTCAGGAAAATAGAGAAATTGAGGTAAAAATATGTTATATAATAGTAATAGTTATTTATGCAAAGATTAAAGAAATTAATAAGATTTGATCA